TTAGGGTTTAGGGTTAAGGCTTTAGTTCCTTTGAAGAAGGAACCTAGGGATCCCATACCCGAAACCCTATAAGCTTGAAGAGCTATAACCCTAAACCGTACGCCCAAGGCCCTAGACCTGAAAAGCCACAACCCCAAACCCTAAACCTGAAAAGCTCTAGCCCCGAACCCCAAAGTATAACCATGGCACCCTAGCCCGACTTTGCTTCGAGGCAGAGTTACTCTTGGCTTGTATTTCTGCCTCGGTTTCAGCTCGATTCTCGGCTTACGCAGGGGATAGGGTCTAGACTCTACAGTTTACTTGGAGGTCCAGGAGACTTAGCAAGTCAGTTATAATTAGGGTTATAGTTGGGGTAACTCCATTTAGGGTACCTAAAACGCTACTTTTTGCCTACTTACTAAGTCCCCTTGCCTTCCAAGTAGAGAATGTAGTTAAGGAGTTTAGGGGGTTTCGCTTTTCAATCTTTAGGGGATGGGCTCTTCCAACCAGCTCCCGGGTTCTTCCAGGGCACCTCCTGGCTTCTCCGACCCCTCGGACCTAAATGGGGGTTTCCGAAAATAGGGGACCCTGATATAGTAAGCCTAAATAATAGGATCCTTATTATAAGGACCCCAAAATAAGGTACCCCTTATTTTCGGAAACTCCCAAATACCCTAAACGCTACAGCCGCAGACCCTCAACCTAAGTAAGCCTCATACCCTAAGCCTAGCCACGAGGGTTCTTCCAGGCTCCAAGAGTCTATGAACCCCAAGAGCATAATGCTAGAAGCCCCAATACCCTAACCCTAAACCCTAAACCCTAAACCCTAAACCCTAAACCCTAACCCTAAAGCCCAAGAGCATAATGCTAGAAGCCCCATACCCTAACCCTAAAGCCGAAACCCTGTCAGGGTGCCTTGATGTAGATGTCAGCAACACTGAAAATCTTTTGCCAGGGCCTCGTTCTTACCCCGAAATACGAAGAACTGGCAGCTTTGAGTTTTCATCACACCGCCATAATATATATATATATATA